ATCACCTTAAAAGAATCTCCAGCTCTTTGTAGTCTGGATTTTTGCTTTAGTATAGGTCTGCACTCTGTAAATGCCCAAAGCCCCCTGCAGTCACTGTGCCCCAATCGCTCCTGATGGCCAGCAAGCTTGCACAAGTGAGCCTTGTCCTTGAATAGGTAGCTTGTTGCGGGTACAGACAGGAAGAGCAGTGCCACCACAGCCAGGATATTCCTGGCTCCTTGGGATTTGGCAAGCACGATGCTGTCTGTGAGGCTCTCCAGACTGTTCTCACCTCTACCTGCCCAGCCATTGATCCAGACTTTCAACCTCCCACAGCACTTCGACTTTTCTTCCCTCTCAGTCTGCTTTTGGAGTAAAAAGTCCCAGAAAGCTCAGCTGGGATATCCAAAAATATTTAAGGACGTGGGGAAGTCTGTTTGTTCATTTAGTATTTCTTTAGTGATAACATGGGGCAAAACAACCCAACATCTCAGAAAACAGGGCTACCTAGCATTCATCTAGGGCTACCAACATCTAGGGCTACCTAGCATTCAGCAGGCAAAGCTAAGAGGATCCAACAGTGCAGTTAACATCAAGTGATGCCGTTTGTTTTGCTGTGGTGAAGCAGTAACAACATGGTGATGCCATTGGGAACAATGGCAATTACACAGCAAGCCACTTTAGCATTACTCTATCATTACAGCTTGATAATATGCAATCAAAACGTTATTAGCAATCATCAGCAGCATCTATTATTCATTGCTTAGATCAAGCTAAGAAAGTGAAGGCTTTCTACCAGTAACAGGACTCTGAGCCAGTCTAAGCACAGGGTTGGAAGGTAATTCCATGGTCATATAGTGCTGAGTCACCATTGCATAACCTTCAGCAATATTACCATCTCAGTTGTTCCATGTATAAAATTAAATAATAATAATCATCTATATTTCCAATATTATTAGGAATAATTAACTCAGATAAGTATTATCATTAATTTCATAGTGGTTACTAATTCAAAGTTAAATTATTTGATTGTAAAATTTAATATTTATATCTAAAGTTGCAGGCATTCAACAGATGCAAGCAGTTACCTGAGGTTGTAAAATATGTGCACCTACATATTTGTGCACAAATGGGTCCACAAAGCATATGAAAACACACACTCAACCTAAATGGTCAGTTGGTTTCAACTCCTTCATACTGTAAATATGCTAGATAAATGTGTGTGAACTCTAACATTAACAGCTCTAGTATGTAAAGTATCTTCTATGTATGTACAACTTGTTGCAATAATTTTAGTATTTGAATTCTCAGTTTTTTCTTTATGCTAATGAGCTCTAACATGACAACCAACCTGTGTTCCCAATATGTACCACAGTTTAGAAACTCTAAAAGTAGACCTGAAAACAAACCTCTGTTCCTTCTCAAAAAGTTATTTTAGTTTATATCCAAGAGGCAACAAATGTTATCTCTATTTATTTCCCTACCTTATTTTGAGTAAAATAATTATACAATTTACACCTTGACAATTACTTAATAAGCAAATTAGGAAAGCATCAGAAATAGCTGACTAAAGAAGCACAGTCTGGTATCTTTTAACAGCATACTACCATCAGGATGTCTTCGTCACCTCTTCAGTGCAACAAGACATGGCTGTTACAAGTAAAAACCTTGTTAAGAATTTCATTACACAGCACTATTTTCCCTATTTATTCAACAACAAAATAATTCTAAGGTAATTCAAATTTAGGTTTCCCAAGCCTATAACCTGACTTACATGTGCAGACATAAGTTACCTACACAAACTGACAATGTTGTGCAGAGGTACAAAAAATGCATCATCAAGATCCACCCACACATCTTCATATAGAGTTTCCCCACCTAGACGTGTACCTCTGACTGGTGCTTTTCACCACCATTTGCATCACTCTTAAAAGTCTGACTGCAGCTCCAAGGTCACTAGGAACAAACAAGGATCACTAGACCATCTTTTCTCATTCTTTGTTCCACTAAACAAGGGGAAAAAATTATTTTGAGTGATGGGAGAAAAGGAAAGAGATGAAGTGGAAATATGTTTTAGAAGATGAAAGACGCAGTTTCAAGGAACAAAATAACTGATAAACACCAAGGTAGGTTAATATTGACTGACCAGAAAGAGAAATTGGGATATTAACATTAAAAAATTACCCTAGTCAGAATTAATCAGTTTATAAAACTAGTTTATTTTCACTCAGTGACCAAGCCACATAATGACTTAGACAATATGATTTCTGGTATTATCTAGCCAGGCAAGATAGAAACGAAAACATTGGGCCAATTCAGGAAATAACTGGAGAGGGTCTATTACCACTAGGGCACAGAAATAGATTAATGGCATTTCTTTGCTAACAAAAAAAAAAAAACCCTGTATTATTTTTCACACCTGTTTTACATCATATTTGTTTGATAACAGTAAGAAGAATGCAAGAGAGAATTAAACAAAAAAGGTGAAAAATATATACACTATTCATTCTGGGCAGGCTGCCAACGTGAATACACCCCAGCCCCACCAGCAAACGTGGGTGAAAACTGGTGAAGCTCCAACCATTTTACACAGGGAGAAACACAGAAGTCCCTTGACTGTAAAGGGACTTCAGCTTCCTTAGTTATTTAGTACAAATAGTGAGTTACATCTCAAAAGAGAGGGGCACTATTTGATACTTCTGCAATAGCTGGTCTGATTTGCACTTGTCTAGATCCAAGCACTTTGTAACTCTTCCAGTTTGACTACTGTGTCTCTTCTACATCACAGAGGGCAGAGGTGGAGGAAGGAGGTGAGCCCAGAACATATCCAGGCATGGATCATCTAGGTAGTAACCCCTGGCCCAAGCGCTCATCTTAAGCACTCACTTCCTTTCAACTTTTCCACCCTGGTTTTAGAAAATCAATCACGGAATGGTTTGGTTTGGGTTGGAAGGGACCTGAAAGACCATCTAGTTCCAACACTACTGCCATGGGCAGGGAACCTTCCACTAGACCAGGTGACTCAGAACCCATCCAGCCTGTCTGGTCAACAAGCCCCAGCCTCCACACCCATCCCTGGCTCAGCAGGTTCTGGCATCATCACATCAAGGACTGAGCTCCCAGAGACTCTCTTGACAAAGTGGACAGCCCAAGGCACCCTGATGCCCAGACCCTGGGGCTGTGCCCTGTGAAATTACAAGACATACCCAAGCAGAGTCCCCCAAGGCCCCATCCCTGCTGCACTAAAGTGGAGTCATGGGCACCAAGCACATCCCCAAAGCCTGGACACCACTGAGAGCCCTGGGGACATCTATGCCCAACCATTGGGGCAGGACCTGACCTGTGCCAGTACCAAAGCAGCTGGTACATCTGTTCCTTGTAAGTAAAAAGGCACAATTTCCAGATGATGCACGCTAGTATCGATTTTATTTGAATGCAGTTCACACCAGTTCTTTACACCAGCTGTCAGCAAGGTCTGGATGACCTTGTTCTAAGTGTTTATGCTCTCCAAAGAAAGAAACATTATCTGAAGCCTGGTTTATGTTTATTTTAAAAGACCAAAGAGTTTATTTTGAAGAATCCAACTGAAAATGCTTGAAAGACTATGATAGATACTCTGAAGTATGAATTGGAAAACTTTAAATATATTGCATATGTTGTATGGGCCACTGACAAATTACAGAAAAGCAGTGTGTGCTTACGCAGTTGGGAGTATCCAAACTGTCATTTGGTTGTCTTATTTGCACAAGATGTTGGACAAAAATTAAAACAGAAACAAATGTGCAATAAATTTTGTGTCTTGTAAGTTTAAAGGATAGTTACAAATAAACTGTCATAACCCTAAAAAGGACAATCTCGAGGCAATGCTAAGCAGTCTCCATTTATCTTACTCTCTTTCCTGAATACCTCCTTCTTATGAATAGAAATTTCTAGAAATACCCTTATTCTGCGTGGACCACTGGCCCTGGCCAGACTGAGCACTATTCAGACACTGGTATGACAAGTTATTGCAGAAGCACTGTCACTGAAAAAACCCACACAGTTCAAAAACCGCCACCTCTTTCAAAATAAGTAACAAGCCTGTTTTGCAGCATATCGTGGAAACAGACTTTTCCCACTCCCTATTCCCTTACCCAGTCCTTTTCTTGGATTGTCTCTGTAAAGGTTCTTACACTCAGCTGAAAGCCCCATAAAAGCTCTTGGGACAGCATGAAGTTTGTAAGTACCTAAGCCACGAGATTTTAGAAAAAATATTTGTTTCTAGACCCAAATCTTATGAGCTACATTTGAATTTAACTCTGCTGTCATTTATTTCTACTGCTAGAGATAACCAGCAAAACAAGCAGAGCAAATACTGGTGCAGTATCACAGTTGTTGATAATAGTGAAATACTTGTACTTTTCAAATGTACATGATGGTCTAGCAAAAATTTGTTGTGGAAAATTTCATGCAATCTGTGCACACACAGGCAACAAGCATATTGGTATCTTAATTCACAAGTATTATGGGAATAAGAATCAGTTTAGAAATTTATTTGGATTACTATTTATTCCCAGTTGTCATAAAACACAATATAACCTACATTGCTGGTATACTTCATCCAGACAATCCTAACTACTTTCAAAGCAGGATTATTTACTAACCTCAGTACACTACTCCAGCAGCAAGAATTCCCAAAGGACACATCCCAACACAGTAGGCATTTCAAACTTTTTTAGTAAGTTTGATACAGAATTTCTAGGAAAACGAAAAACACGGCAACTTGCAAAGTAGCATCAAGAATTTACCTTATATTCTCCATGATTCTTTGTTTCTACTGTTAAAATTCATTACAAACTCTAATTCAACAACAGGAAATGCATTCAAGGAAGAGAAGGAGTAGGAGCTGATAATCTGGATAATCTTACTACAGTAGCATCAGTCAGCTACCAACACAACCCAGCAGCAGTATGGAAAAGGAAGGGATGGATCTATTCCAAGAACAGCAGGAGGGAAGGCTATAGAAAAAGCAGAGGACTTACCTCCACAAAGAGCTCTCCAGAACTTTCCCCATGTCAGTATGATAATACTTCGTAAGGATCAGGATCACCTAAAAGAAAATGAGAAGAAATAGATTTAAATATGTAAACTGATGTAAGAAATAGAAATGGGCAGCATGATTTTGGGAAAAATAAAAGTGAGGCTTCTAAAAATCTGAACAGCATTTCACCTCATTTTTAACTCTTAAGAGTTTTGCTTGTTAGCCTGGCTTTTTCATTTCTCTTTCTGGGAAGAGTGATTTCAGCACTTGAAGTTTTCTGTAAACCTGGTGACTGTGAAAGATTGCCCATTTCACATAAGCAGTGGAGTTGGAATTGTCACATAAATACTACCACAACATGACATTCTTCAAGCAATCTTTATGACTTTCTGATTAGGAAAACCAACCTGGTTGCTAGTTTAAATTTAGGAGGCAACTCTACAGACACAATTTTTTTAATCCAAAGTGTTAAACAATGGTGATTAACTTTGATTACCCAGATGAAAAAAAAAACCAGGGGAAAAAAGAGCTCTGGCCTTCCTTACAAAATCAGCAATGCAACTTTCATAGCTATCACTTTTCATTTCTTGAAGAATCACTTTTTCCACTTCATGAACCAGCTCTGTGCTCAGTAAGTCACTCATCTACATTAGCAACAGCCAACAAAACACACAAGCAAATTTTATCCATAAAACATCTTCATCCTATGAAAAGAGTCAGTGAGAACTATTTTCCATCTGCTCAAAATGTGGCAAATGCACTGGTCAAATAATGTAAAGCACTAGTCCACAACCAGCGTATCAAGCTCAATGCTATGGTTTATGTTTGGATCTTTTACAGGTTTCTTCCTCTTGCTGCCAGTCCATATCAGTGGCTCTTAGAGCCAATGCCCATGGCAACCCCAGAGAGGCAGAACAGGCTGGTCCCCTGCACAGCTGGAGGCTTTCTTTAATGTGGGGTCAACTCCAGACTCCAACAGTTTGGGGCAAGCTGTTATTTAACTGGCACTGCTCTGCAGTGAAATCTACAGCAAACAGCAACTGTAGGTGTTCACTTTGATTATTCAGATAATTAAATATGCCAATGATACATTTATACCTCACTCTTTGTATGCTGGAGATTGTGAGTAAACAGAATTGCAGACTGATGTTATTATATGGAAATAATGCAGTGTTTTACAGAACTGAGATATAATACCAGTCTCACTCAGGGTTAGCCGAACCTAATAAACTCACAACACATATTCCTGAATGTATATTGATGTAAGCAAAAGTAGAAACAATCCATAATTCACAAGTATTATTCACTCCTATTCTCAAAAGAGTCACAATCTACCAGATCACTTTTTTGGAATTTGATTATTTATAAAAATAAAAGTTTGGCTTAAAAAAAAGAAAAATAGGTTACTACAAGACTTACAAAGCTAAGAGAAAGAACCATTTCCCAAAGGAAAGTGTATCTGTGGATGAGATTCCTGGCTACAGCCCAAGCACGTTCTACCAGGTCAACTATTTATTGTATCGTCAGTGTCCTACCTGCAGCTTTTTCTGGTGCTTGCAGTTAAGAAAAAAAAGAAAGTAACTTCACTATTGGGAGCATCTATTGGCTCCAACTATTAAGGAAAAAAGTCTCAGACTATGCCTTTCCAAACAAGTATAATCCCTCTTAAGTCACAAAAAACTCATCTGGAATTTATTATTTTAAGAGATACAAGAATGCATACTTGGTACATGAAAAAAAAAAAAAAAAAAAAGAAAATACCTAAAAATACAAGAGATTATACTTTCTTTCCTTCCATTTATGCAGAAATGGAGGCTGAATCCTGAACTTGGTGAACCAACTTTCTTTATCCCTGTACATCCTAGAATTAGAAATTTTAAAATTCAGATAATTTTCAGCAACATGTGTTGGAGCTATCCTGCCACAGGCTAAGCCCAATGTTCCATTCCTGAATTAAACAGTTTAAAACCACACACAGAAAATCCTGTTGGGTCACCCTCAGTCTACCTGCTTTGAGCATAAACTGTATGGATGCCCCAACAAAGAACCTTCCAGAAAGGCCATTTCTGTAACTCAGCACCTGTCAGGAATGTTAAAGACTGCCAGGCTCGTGGTACTGCTGGCTAGCTGCAGTTCATCTGGGCATGCACACACCCAGCCAGAAAGCCACTGCTGTTCAGCACACTTCAACTGACTGGCTTTCAGGTAACTGCAAACTGCAGTGGGAGCAGCCGTAGGCAGTAAAACATCTTCTTGATGCTGCAGGACTGGTGCTGAAACTGAGCCAGAGCTCTGAAAAATAGATGTCAGTACTTCCCAATCTGACTGGTAAATTCGTGTAAAAATTTTAATAGCTTATTTTGCACTTTGGAAGTGGAGAGAATGACTTTGTAGGAAAAAACAAAGCCATAAGAAGCCATCTTTGAACTCTCAAACAACATTAGCAGATTTCTGTCACAACTTAAGAAGAATGAAGCTGCTGAGGGGCTGACCATTATGCCAACTTTGCCAGTGGATTTCATCCCAGTATCTGAATAATGGAGGCCAGCTATTTAAGAGATTTTACAGCACAGTCCTTTAGACTGTGGATATCTTTTCAGGTGATCCTGAAAACAGAATCCAGGCTGACCATAATGGCAGTTTTTCTAAATTAATAGATAGATGCAAAGAACAGAAGGAATTATTTCACAATGAAAGCATAAAGGTCTTCAGGATCTCTGGATTCTACCCATCATTTTTAAGAGCAGAAGTCTGTTTCACTGATTTCATTTTAATGAGACTCCATAATTACGAGCATTTTACAGGCTGGATTGAAGCCAGTGGTTCATACACATGGCTCTCCTAGTGAAAGTGCTTGGGTGGCCTGTGGCTGGGGAGAGGCACAGCAGCAACTGGGCAGATATGATTCTTAACCAGCTCATACCACCATCAGTCATGGACAGCTGCAATAAATTTAACTTTTTGCTGTTATTATTTTACAGGTAAAATAAATGTAGGCAATGAAGGAGAATTAGATTTATCATATTTTTTACTTTAAGTTGGATTTATAGGACTATCTAGAAAACATTCTATCCAGACTTCCAGAGACTTGTGAATCCATTTTAAAGGATTTAAACTTAAATTCACACACAATTTTTTGAGTTCCCTCCCAGAGTATGATGATGGAGCTGACAACAGTGATTACTCTTGTGTGCTAGGGACCAGTGAATACCTGATGGTGCTTCTGAACAAAACTACTGAAAGGGAAAAAAAGAAAGTGAAAACTTTCAGCTTTTATCACAAAATTGATACTCTGTTACCTGCTTCTTCACCAAAGCCTTTGGTAAAGGCCTCTCCATAAAGCCAGTATTTCTCTCTATGCACTATGGTATGGAAGATAAATCCCTTAGGATTCTAAGAATCAAATGCAATATGCATTAGAAGTTAGTTTCCATGGAAGAAATAACTAGCTCCAGTCAATTTCTCTGTGTTAGGCCTTCAGAAATTTCTCTACCTCATCCTTCCCCTCCTTTTTTGGTGGGGAGAGGGACAGTGGGGTGCACTGGAATTTTGATTCCCCCACATCATTCCCCTGCTCTCATAACTTCATTCCTGTCTGTATGAATTCTCAGTAGTCACAGCTCAAAACTGGTCTGCAAACAAAGGAGTTGAAGCAGTTTCGATCCAAAATCCTTTCTGGATATAGACCTGTCTTCAGGGGAGCACTGGGTTTTCAGTGAATGACAGACCAGGACAGCAAATGGAAAATTCCACAGATATTAATCCCCATGAATAATCAAAGTTAGAATGATCTATGTTTATCCCCTCTCCTTTCCTGTTGCTCTCCTCTGAAAATGCTTTGCAGCAAGGCTGGGCTGAAGACAGCACAACTTCACTTTACAAGATACAATGTGCTTTTAATAATTTCCTAATAAAATTTTGGCTTTAAGAAGCCCATTTTAATCCTCTCTTTTCATCACCATGTCAGCTAAGAGGGCTGAGAAGGGAAAAAGGAATGAATTCTAGATCAATCACCTTTCCTGGTGTTTATATTTTAGCTTTCTGTGGAGGATTTCCTAAGATCCTGCTCTTTTTGAGAAACACCAACTTTCAGAAAACTATTTTATTTTTTCCCCATGCTCCCTCCATGATGTTTTTTTTCATGGACCATTCTTAACAAAGATCTCTCTTTTTTTCTATCTACATGCAGATTCTTACAGATAATTTGTGATTTTAGGTTTTGGGGTTTTTTTAATCTATTCAGAAGTTTAACAGCAAAAAAATCTCATACTTGCAAATGCACAATTACAAGAATGATTGTGAGTTTTTGTCTTTTCTCAAGTTTTTAGACAGTGAGAGCATGCTGTAAGTACTTCTGGGCAGCCAGAGCTACCAGGAAAATAAACTCCTCAGACAGATTCAAGTTTCTGCAAACTTTTTAGCATCTGCTTAATTTAATTCATGTGAATGAAACCACTGAAATCCAAAGAAGTGTTTATGAGAGCCACTTAATTCACTGTATGACTGCAACATAAGCTGCTGTATTGCTCAGGAACAGAGCCTCACTCACCTTTTCAGCTATTTAACTATTCCACTGTACACCACAACTATTTTGGGGAGATCAAGAGGTTCTAGGCACATCCTATTAATTTTTCACTAACACTCCCTGTAATTCCAAAACTTTTTTGACACCTAATAATCAAAAGCTCCCTAACAAATTATAGGCAACCACCTACTGCTCCAATCCCTCAAGCCATTTCCACTTTTGCAGCAGCAGGCTCTTCAATCATCATGCTAAGAGCAATGTTAATTTTCACATCTCTTATTTAAAAAAAAGATTCTTAAGAGAAAAATAAAATTCAGGAAATTATTAATATGAAGGTACATTACTGCAAGGCTATTATATGGACTAACATACTACTATTAATAACTACATCATAATTTGATTATGCTAGGAAAACTAAACAGAAAAAGGGCACTTAGGTTGACTGTTGCAGCACTATGATAAAAGGTAAAAAAGCAAACATTTAAACCATTACTTAAGCTATTAAGAATTCA